TTAGTACTATAAATATGGTTAAACAAACAACTGGGTTTTGTTACTGGCAGTCTCGTAAACAGAATTCTATACCGAAAAAGCATTTTCCCAAACTTCATAGGGTTTGAGGCATTTTATAATATATATTTTTTTTACAAAAAAATACGGATGTTATTCCATATAGCAAAATCCTAGCGGGCGAGGGCTTGTCATTTCAAACTTTTTCCCCCGCATGTATTTCTGGCCCACCCTAATATGCATGCAGGATTTATCTATGCATGTATGTATGTCAACAGGAAATGTTTTTTGCATTACTTCATCAATTCTCTTGACTTTACGCTACTTTGAAAACAGGTTGTTCCGATGCCTTTGCCGCCTATGAAGTTGGTATACCCTTCAGCTTCACCATTCAACTGGCTGACAATGGAGTGCACGGTTACTTGCTGCCCAGCGCATCTATAGAGCCAACGGCACGTGACGCTTTTGAAATAGTAACGGCTATGATCGATTATATTTGATAAGTAAATTATTTAGCTTCCTAACGAATCGCGATCGATTAAGGACTGTGTATAGTATTTATTTAAATTGTAAATATTACCCAGTATTTATTAAATAGATTTAGTAAAACAATTAAAACTGTGTGTTAAGTTAGTACAAAGAAACAGTGCACTATGGGCCAGCAGCTAATCATAAGTGGCGAAAATTAGCCGAAATAAAGTTCAGAAATTGATTGAATGGACAAGACTATCTAATTATACATATGGACATTAGACTGCATCACCAAAAGAGTTGCGGCTTTTCCGCCGGGATTACAAGATTTATTATATTTTAAGACGTCCACCAAAATATTTCGGAAAAATATTAAGATTTATGTGAGCTGGACCGATTTGAAAATACCCCCAAAAATGGATTTTTTTGAATAAAAATAGTTTCTTAAAGAACTTTTTGAAAAAAGTCTCTTTAGATGACAAAACAGATTAGGCTTAAAAAAACTGCATACAAATATTTATAAATCTTTTTAACGGAATCGTAATAATGAGATTTTTAATGCTGTTTTTTTTACTTTTTTCAAAGACTGATTTACGAAAAACTTGAATAACGCAGCCAAAACTATTCTGATTTAGAGTTGTGGTTTCTCAGTAGAAGGTCTTTTCCCACTCTTTTTATTTCTGTGCAAAAAAAAATCATTCATGTCCCTTTTTTATTCAACTTTGAATGAAGTGCGTTCATCCTACCTATCTCTTTCATCCTTTGAATCAGATTATTAGCAAATAAATAAAAAAGGGTGGGAAAATACCTTTCCAATTACACCTATTAAGTCTAAATCGGAAGAGTTTAGGTTAAGTTATTCAAGTTTTTCTTATACCAATCTTTGAAAAAAGTTAAAAAAACAGCATCGAAAATCTCGTTATTACGATTCCGTTCAATTTTTTTTTAATGCAAATTTTTTAAGCTTAAACCGTTTTGTCATTTGAGGCGATTTAAAAAAAAAAATCTTAAAGAAACTATCTTTAGTTGCGATCCCGTACGAGTCCGGACTAGTCAGAAATAGTCAGAATCAGTCAGATTTTACTGGAAATCGATCCCGTACTCGGTTCTCTGACTATTGAGAGGACAAAAAAGAGAGTAAATACGGTTCTCTCTCTGTCAGAAGCTACCAGTTTTAGTCCGAGAATTTTTTGCTGGTAAATTCTGGTAAATGTGTCAAACGATCAGCTGTAGTGTGTTTGGCAACCAAATTGTAAACAAAAGAAAAGTGCACTCTGCTAATTCTTGTTGAAAAGTATTTAATTACTTGTTTATGTGGATTCTAATGAATTCGAAAGTATTTTTGGTTATTTACATGTGTGAGCTGAGTATGTTTACATACAAAATAAGCAAAAATTTACAACCTAAATTTGGAGGTTATGTTGAAGTTGACAGAAGTTACCATATGTTACTAGAAAGCGATCCCGTACTTTTCAATGTTACTCTCTCGCTCTGAGAGAATTTTTATTTTTTGACAGTTTTACTAGCCCGAGTCCGAGGAATACGGGAATGCACCTTTTATTAATAAAAAAAAACTCCATTTTTGGAGGTATTTTCAAATCGATCCAGCTCGCTTTTCCGAAATATTTTGGCTATCACCTTATATTAATTCGCCTTGCTTATTTCATTAAAGTGAAAAATGCGGCTTTAAAGCAAATTTTTTTCATATTAAATAATTTTGCACAATACAAATTTACACATTTATTTAACTTAAGAATTTTGATAAGTTGCACACATTTTATTTAAAATTTTTTCCTGAGACTAACAAATTAATCAGTGTTCCTTTGTATCAAATCTCTTAAATAGATTATCAAGGCCGGCGGTTGTTTCATTTCTGTTGGTATCGCATACAGTTTCGACTGTTTGAAAATTTGGCGTGCCTCTTCATCGGTTATGGTAACAGTAACTTTTTGTTTTTTCATTTCGTCAGACGATCTGTTGCAAGCTGTTTTACTAGCCGCTGACTGACCCCACATAGACGATGGCATCCATGAGGAGGAACTATCTTTCCTGCACGAGTCTCCAATATCTCCCGCCGCACAATGGCCCCAATCAAATGTCCAGGGTGACCAAATGGTATGAGTTTCAGGTTTCCTGAATAAATTGTCAGTTGCTTTCGTCGTTGAATGAAACCATGAAAATGAAGTCAGCCAAGAGGACTGTTTTGGTGGTGGCTCAATTTCTTTCTGATGCCATTTAATCAAAGAAATCCAAGAAGAGAGTGCCTCAGGCTTCTGAACTTGTTTCTGCTCGGATTGTGTCCATCTAAATGAAGTCACCCAAGAGGACTGTTTTGTTGGCGGCTCAATCTCTTTCTGATGCCATTTAATTAAAGACATCCAAGAAGAGCGCGCCTCAGGCTTCTTAAATTCTTTCGGCTTGGATTGTGTCCATCTGAATGAAGGCATCCAAGAGGAGTATGTTTCTGGCTTCGCCTCTGTTTTTTTCGATCGACCCCAAGTAAAAAAAGACATCCAAGAGGAAGACATTTGATCGTTTTTTTGTACAGTATCCCGTCTAAACGAAGGCAACCAGGATGTATGAGGTTTTGTGCTTTCTTTCGTTCGACTCCAGCTCCAAGAAAACATACTGGAAGTTTCTTCTTTTTTTGGTGATTTTTGCGGAGACGGAGAAGGTGCACGTGCGGGTGGCAGCCTGCCTACTTTTGGCTTAGAAAAAGCCCTTCTAATTGCTCTCAATGTGGCAGAATACAGAATCAGTAGGAATAGTAAAATAATTACACTCGCAACTGCGACTTGTGTGGTCCTAAAAATTGCAAAGTTTAGCTAAATCTTTTCCAAGGTTATACATATGTATTCATAAATACCTGTTCGAATTATAAACTTTGAAGCTTAAGATAACTGTCCATTGAAACACGCAAAGCCAAAATGCAATAGCCCATATAATTACCAATCTGCAAAGGATAACAATATGCACCGTCACTTATGTACATATGTAGGCATGTAAAGCCAAGCTTACGCAACAAAACCGATCATGTTTATCATGAAAGTTAGAAAATTGCGTCCGGTATTGCAACAACCTTTGCCCGTATTACAATCATCTTCCGGGCAATTTCCTTTGGAATCGCTGCTTCGTCTGAACTGCGTCCGTATCGGCGGCGGTGGTGGACATTTTATTTCGTATTTTGGGCCAATTATTTCCGGTTCAAAAGGGCATTTGCACTGAAATTTATATTTCGGAATTGGCCGCTCTGGTGGAATATCAGAACAACTGTTTGTCGAACTTGGACCGATGCCATTATCACCGCGAAATTTCGAGCACTTTTCACATGGACATGGTGGAAATTTACACTTGAGCTCGCGTCTGATTTTTGTGCAAGTCATTTTATGCAGGATGTATGTGTGAAAAAATAATTTTTTGCCAACAGAAGTTTTTACGTGCGTGCATTTTTTAAAATTCCAAACAATTTAAATTATTTCTGACATTAAAGTCTAAGGAGAATTGCATTGATGTTTGGAGATTTTCACAGTT